GGGGATTTGGGGAGTTTACTCTAGTATAGGTTAGCAAAATTCAGCTGAACTAGCTCTGGTATAGGCTAAGGGTTCCAGGGCCCCAGCGGCACATCCCCACCCAGAAATTCCCAAAGAACATTCCCCACCCCCCGGGGAATCAAGCTTAACCGAAGGTGTTTGGTTTTGTTTTACAGTGTACAGTGGAAACTGACTTTCCGCGTCATAAGTTTTTGACATCCGGCGTCTGGTTTTGAGCTACTGTTGTAAGAAGCGAGGCACTTCACACTCTGTTTTTCGTCAACCAGCGCTCCTCAAGATCGAATTAAAATGAAGCACAGTTAAATTATTGTATCATAATGGACGAATTGGTAAACTCAAACGAAGAAAACGAAGAAGGAAATGTCATTTCTCGAGCGCGTGCCTTCGTCAGGAGTGAAGTAACAAGGCTTCGAGAAGGTAACAGTCTGCCACCCAGTAGATAGGTTTTCCGATTTAAGTCGAATTAAACTGCAAGAAGGGTAATATGGGAAGACTTCTAAACGTTTTATTAAGTTTTATTAGTTTATTTTCTTAAACAAAGCTCGGGTTGGTCACGCTATTCTGTGTTGTTAGCCCAGCCAACGGAAGCGTAATCGCATTTAATATTAGACCTACAGTGGGTTCTTTGTTTTCAAAGTTTTCCGAGAAGTAGTGCTGGGGAGGGGAGGGGCGGGAGTGGCGCAGTTTTAAAGGGTTACGTTAAAACTGGAAAGAAAAGTTGGAGGAAGGTGTCTCGAGGAGTGTGATACGTTTAATTTTTGTTGTTTTCGTTGTTATCACTTATCTTAGGCGCTGGAGAAGTTACATTAGACCTTCGTAAGTTTTTGAGCAGACATTCTCATGTAAGAGAAAGACATCCGAACGGAGGTTGGTATCAAATGATGACATATGTGCATAAATCATGACATTCAGAAATTAGAGTGGAGACGGGACTTAAAAGGACCTAGAAGGTGCCAGAACTGGTGACAACTACGTCAGCAATAGTCATTAAGACCAGAGTCTTTGTCTCTGATACAGTTCCATTCCCATTAGCTAGACTGCAAAAAGATCTATATTCCCTCTCGAGATATTGATAAACGACTTGCGAACTGGAGGGCCTTTAAGTGTGCGCCTTCGATCCCTTTTGAAATCGTCCATCTAACTAACGCTCTACGACTGTTTTCACTGCAACGCGACCTTCGAAATCAAAACGCTCTTTGCATTATATAGACTTCCATCAATCAAACACTGGTACCTTTTATGAAATACTAGTCTGCAGAAACGGCTTCACACTCACAGCGAAAATGTCGGCAACAATTAACGAACACAGCTTTGAAAAGTGAATAGCGAACTACCATAATTGGAAGGAACACAAATATTGAACAGTCAAACAAATTTAAGTAAGTTAGTGATTTATTGTTGCTTTAGGAAATCAATTTTGGTTTTTAGTCAGCAGTACAAGGCTGAATTCCGTTGACCATCGCCACGATACAAATTTCATTTTCCAACCCTTCCAGAGAGGAGTGGTGTTACACACAAAAACTGTAAGTGGAGATGTAGAAGGCTGTGAACACATCATATTTGTCCTGCTGCATCGTCAGACTTAAGAGCACGTTAAACATGAGCTAATGTGTGTGCAGAATTGGTCTCGAAAAATAGGTGTACGCAAAGAAGGAGAAAAGCTTCGGCAATTCGCCGACAGCTTTCCCACCGAGGCCTTTAATTCCCGTCGACAACAGTACATATTGGGCTCAAGGAATAATAAATCATAGCTATCTTTGCTGTTCGTATATTTAAAGTTACTGAAGTGTTTGCCATCGCTAATATTTTCGCGCGTATGTGAAGCCGCTTCGCTTCGGATGATCTTGAAAGGTACCGCTGTTTGATTGACGGAACAACAACAATAGCTGCTGTAACCTTTGCAATTCTTAGAGACTGCCTCTTATATACCCATTGTTTTATTGTACAATTTATACATGCTACATATTTTAATTGTATATACATTTTTATTATTATTCCTTATTTGTAAATAATTTTAATATTTTTTTGTGGGGGTCCCAAATTAGTTGTAAAAACTAAATACATTGGCACATTACTAAAGCTTTTACTTACTGACTGACTGACTGACTGACTGACACACTGACAGACTGACTGACTGACTGACTGACTGAGTGACTGACTGACTGACTGACTGACTGAGGGACTAACTGATAGACTGATTGACTGACTGACTGACTGACTGACTGTCTGTCTGACTGACTGACTGACTGACTTACTGAAGTCTGTTGCGAAAAGCGTTTTGGTTTGGAAGGTCGCGTAGTAGTGAAAACGGTGGTAAGATGAATTTATAGAAGTCGAATGAACGCCCGAAGCTAACGTTTTTCTTTTTTTTCTTTTAAAACAAATAACAACTGATCCAGAGGTCGATCACCTAGACGGAACTGAGATAACTGAAGGTATTATGACTGTTTAGCCAATACTACGATAAGAAGGGTCTATTAATTCTGCAAAATTAAGAAAGCACACCATTACGATCTCATATTTTATGGCAAAACCCTATTTTGCCTCGTTTTATACTTTCTTGGTACCCATGCCATCTTCTGAAATTCATCATTATTCGTTTTCAGACGAAACGTCTGCGAGATGTGTCTTGAATTGGAACACGAAAAAAACTGTTCATGGAAATTGCGGCGACATTTTGGTGGCAACCATGTTTCGGCAGGCAGATTTATTCAAATTTTGAGATTCATGTTTAATCCATTTTAATTTTGAAGTTTCGCGATGGAATAGTATGAAATATGTTTTTAAAGATGGTGGCCATAACTTCACCAATTAAAGGCCAGCCAACGTGAGCGTACAATTGACGACGCGTTAATAACAGGTTTATAATTTTCATTTTCGGATGCACTTAACACTAATCCAAGGTTTTTTTTTTTCTTTTTTTTTTTTGTCTGTTAATTTGTTTTTTAAATGCTCTTGGCGCTTAACGCCGCAGTCATTTTTGTAAGCCCACAAGAACGGGATTAATATAAGCTTTATTTGTCGGAGCTTATGCCTTATCTCTTACTCAAATTACTTTACAGCTGAGGATAGAATCATGGACATCCTCAAAAGGATTTCTACAGTACCTGTTGCTCAGATCGAGGAGGTTGTCACAGCAGAAAATATTTGCCACTGTCGAAATCCTCTTGAAAAAGCATTTGAGGTAACTCCAAAATTGAAAAAAAACAAAAAAACAATCGCTTAAAAGAAGTGCAGCTTGTGAAAGCAGTTAAACTTATCTTGACTTCACCCACTCCTAATTCAATGAGTTGAATTGATAACAGTAAGTTGTATTATCACTGACACAGATTTTTATTTTCTCTGATAACAACAGATTTCTACGAAACTAAAGGAGCTAGCATTGAGTCGGGATGAAAATGCTGTTTTTCTTAACACCCTAGCAGAACAGGTCGAGGATTTTTCGGTTACGCTGATAGATCAAGTCAATAAGAAGGAGGAAATATCTCGTAAACAAGATGTGGATATGGATACGTATGCGTCCTTTCTTGATGATATAACAGAGTCTGCAATTCGTTTCTCACAAAAGAAGGTTAGAAAACACCTCAATGGTCATTTTCATAAGAAATAAAAGTCAACCGCAGCAGTTATTTCTTTAAAATATGAACTGACCCACGATCAGTACTGTCAATAGAACAACGCTGAAACAACACTATTCGGTTTCGAAATTGGTTCCATGACCTTTAAATAAGAATAAAAAAAAAAACACATTATTCTACCAAAGTGGATATCGCACGTGCAAAATGAATATCCTATGTTGTTTTATAGCGTCGACGTTCTCACAGTCACCGTTGTGGTCTCTCCTGTGTAACCAATGCCTCGATCCCGAGTATCAGAAAACCGGCGAGTAACCAATTTCCGTGCATTCTCACCAAAAAGCGCTTTTTTTCTCCTGCTGATAGCAATGTTTCATATTCTATTGGATACTGAAGACTTATTTGTTAATAGATTTAGGTTCTTTAACCATTTTGCCTGCGGTAAGGGATACAAATGAAAGCTAGTCAAGATTAACAACTCATCTACCGCTAAGCAAAACATCCACCTTGTTTAGTCTGAAAAATAGCCTGAAAAATCCATGACGCCAAAAAATTGTTTTGTTGCATGATATTTGGACCCATTTCCTCGACTGGGAAAATAACTTGTTCCCCAAGACTGCTCGAAGCAAGCGAGGAATATCTGCATTGAGCTATATCCATATTTCTTTGCTCGATTTTCACGAAGCTAACCAGTGCAAGAAAACAAACGGCTTCTTATTTTTCCTCGTCACTTAGAACTGACTAAGTGTTGCGAAATTAAAAGTTTTCTACAGCATTTCACATACCTGCCAGCTTTATTGAATTGCGATGCATCAAAATTTGAAGGAGCGTCGCATACATATGACAACTGTTTAATAATATTCTTATAAATGGTTCGTTTCCTGTTAAATTATATTGAAACGATTCATGACATACTGGTTCTATTTTTAATTCATTCGTAGTTCGTATCCCATCCACTGACGTACAGACTGCTGAATGAAAGGTGGAACTATGGTTTGCCATCGCAGTGCCTTCCTGGAAGAAAACTTCGGTTGCTGTTGTATATATTTACTATCGTAGACACAATTTTGACGCCAGTTTTATCTCCAGTCATCACATACGTGTTCTACAAGGATCAGATTGTCTGTCCTAGGTCGAGGGTAAAATGGAAAAAAACCAGATCGTTAAGAGGTCTGTATCTGTTTTATAAAACTCGTAATGGCACCTAGAAGGAAAAGAAAATATCTCAATCAATTCCTCCAGTTTTGTTTATTAGTTAAGACAAATCAGTTGCAATAACCTTTTCCTTGTCACTTTGAGAGAAAAGAGAGCCCATTCAACCTGCATAGCATATCCAAGCAGCATCAAGACGTCATGCAACAAAATATTACGAAATACGTTTTTTTGTCACTAATGTACATAAACTACATTAATTATACGTTGTTGTGTCTCTTGTAGCTATGTACCTGGGTTACTTAACAACACCATTCGTCATATTTTTAAAGGACAAAATCAGTCAAGTGGTCTTCATAGCATTGCATTTCAGAATGTGCGTCTTAGCATCCTCTGTTTTACCGAGGACCGAAGAATTCCTCATCCTGGTATTTTACATCGGTTTGATATTCTCAGAAATACAGCAGTATCTCACATCTAAATCCCGAGTTTATCTGCGGTAAGATATAGCTAGTGAAAACCAAAGCAAGCATCTGAACTTTATTTCATAATCTCTCTCACATGAATCTCTTATGAGACCCACAAGTACTTTCGGCAGCGTTAACGCTCCATGTCACTGTTGTTAACTGAAAAAATATTGATATAAAAGAAAAGAATTTCCCTGATCAAATGAAAGCTAATCCTAAAATAGTTATTACAAATCTACATCAGTTTTCCAAACCTTCATTTAGGTCACTAAGGAACAGCGTCTATTTTTCAATCAGTTTTGTGCATATTGCTGAATGATTATAACTTGCTTTTTAATCCCAGTTTAACAATCTGGGTCAAGTGACTAACACCATTTGTAATCTTGCTGAATACTTTGTTATTCTAAGATTTTCTGGTTTAATTTTTCCATACACCTATGGGCCTAGTGCCGTTTTCATTAGTCGAGACCGTGGTGGCTGAGCATCTTTACTCTCTTTCGTTAGAGGCGCGGTGACTTTATAGTTACACCTCCGAACGCCGAACGCCGAGTAGGGCGGTCTGGGTCTAGCAAAGTCCTAGTTTATTCCGTTGCGTTCCTGAATAGGACACTTTGCCCTCAGAGTGCTTCTCCGGGGAGATGTATAGACAGGTACAGGGAAAATTATTATTTGCGGATGGGGGAAATCCAAGGGGGAGTAGAAGTACTGCTGTCGTGATGACATTTGAAGATGTGGTATACTTTCTCAATTCAGACTTAAACTTTACCCTTCCTTTGCAGGAACATGTGGAACTACGTTGATGTTGTAACACTTACACTACACGCCCTCATATTTGTGCTCCGAATCACGTCGATCATTTACGGGGGAGACCCGTATCATAATCGATTACTGGAGAAGATAAACTACTTGTATGGCATCAACACTTTGTTCCTTGTCCTGAGATTCTCCAGTATTCTGGAGGTCAATAAGACAGTTGGCCCTCTCCAGCTGGCTTTGTTCCGAATGTGCATTGACTTGGTAATCATTTTGGTTCAGTTTTTCTTTGTCATTGTGGCTTTCTCCGTGGCTATCACGATGGTTTACACAGCAGAGATGTCCTATCTGACGCCAACTCGCTAAGTGGAAAGCAACGGGACTCGATTTGTGGGGTCTGTGGTTACGCTTTGCCGTTATTAGATGGTTACCTCTGTTTAATACAGTCAAACGTTTTTCCCTTTTCCTCGAACAGTTTAATTGCATTTTTCAAAGCAGCGCGTAATTGATCCACCTTTGTAAAAAAGATATACGTTAGGAGCGGTTTCAAATTCAGAATACATTGTGTTTCACGTTTCATTTTTCTTATATACTCATATTGTGTTTCGTGTTTCTTACTGTCAGCTTTTGCGCAAAGGGATCATCGGCCTGGTAAGTAATTCATTGAGGTACCATGAGTCACAGTATCATAAACTCTCTTAAATTATAAAGTTTAAGAGTGAATTTTTCTTATTAGCAAACATAGCACGGCAGAAGTCGAAAAATCGATTTTTCTCTCTTTTCGTCCACAAACAGCCCTTAGGTAGATAACGATTTTCGAATCGACGGTCACCAAAATGGCCGATCGCAATGGCCTAAAATTAGTAATCTAAACTTAATTTGCGTTTGCGTGTAAAGAAGAACCAAAACTTATCGATACTTTTTCTTGAAAGACAAAGTATTTAGCTATCCAAAACAGGTTAGAACTTGACTTGAGCGCC